ACTTTTTGGCGACGATTAAAAATCAAGATCAAAAGAATTTCCCATAATAGGATTTAATAAAAACCCAAAACCCAATTAATCAGAAAAATAATATAGAAATAATAAGTTGAGTCATGCCCTGTGGCTACTCTACAAAAAATGAAAAATTTTCGGCACTTTGGAGTGCAACAAAAAAAAAGCGTCTCCAATTGGGTTGATATACAAACAAAAACTAAGTTGTATATGTGTGGATATATGCATATACATATGTACATATGTATAATCGCTTGTCCCAACAAAGTTGTGAACTTTTTGTTGTTGTTTTTATCCGTATGTCTAATATTTTGCTTACGCAAATCAAGGTTCTGGTTCAAATTTCAGTTCTCAATGTGAAGGTCAAAGTCAAAATACTCGCACACACACATACACACACGTAAACATTTAGTATGTATGTGCATATGTATTTGTATTTGATTGGTCAGCGAATTCGAGACCCTAGAGAAATAAACAGAACAGAATGACTCAATGACTGGCGGGAGAAATGGAATGAAGATAAACACATTAAACTTAATGGAATATAAATAAATATAAATACATACAGAACTGAGACATTAAATTGACCAACATTTCAGTGGGTTCACAGCCTTTGATCTTTAAACTAAGACAAGCTTACAAGCTTATATACTTAATGGCCATCTCTGGGTATCAGTTAAGATGCTTCTACATCGACTCCATCCAAATAGGAACTGCGAATGCTCTTCTTCAAATCTAAAATTGTATAGAATTTCGTAGAGATTTATCTGCGGTTCTTCTCTGCCAAAAATTACCACTTAAATCTCTCTGTACAGATCCATCCATCTCAGATAGCACAAACCTCAAACACCACGAAACAGCAGCCACAAAACAAACGCAGACAAGTTCTAAATTGTTTCTATGCTAAAAGTGAAATGTGGCCAAACCACTTTTTCCAAGCTCTTTCCACTTGGCTTGAGCGACCAGACCCCAGACCCCAGCTCTAGCTCCATCTCCAGCTCCAGCTCTAGCACCATCTCCATTTCCATCTACGACTTAAACTTGGACTTGGATCTGGAAAGAGAGGCATCTGGGGACTGGTTGGGGTCTGCAATTTACTTTCAATGCCGCTTCTGGCCATTGTTCAGGCTTTCTTCTGTGGTGGCTCTGGCTGTGGCTTTTGCACTTGTTTATGGCGGCTGCTGCTGGCTGCTGGTTGCTGGTTGCGGCGGCCCCTGTCAGCGTCTAGTCAACGCGTTGCCCGCGTGTCTGGTTTTGTTGCATGTTGGCATGCTGCAGCCAAAGCCGCAGCCACAGCCACTGAGCTGCTTGGTATGCAATTTGCAATAGTTGCGCTTGCGCAATTCAAATGCACACCAGCACACACACACACACACACACATACAGAGGCATACATAACTCAGTTACGTAGTCGGCGCAGCAGCTCGGACGGAAGGCGGAAGGGGGAAGCGACAAGCGGGAAGACATGTTGCAAGTTGCCAAGAAAACCGGAAAATCAACACGCATTGAGCAAAGAAAAAGACAACCCCCCACCACCGCCCCATGGCAGGCCACCCTCTTGTGCCTAGCCATGGGATTCTGTTTACACTAGACCACAAAATATCGGATATTTTGTTGGGATATTCTTTCTGTATCTATATGGAATGATGGATAATAAAACAATATTTTAGTACATATGTAGTCAAGCAATAATGATGATATTTTATTTATATATAAAAATATAAAAATAAATGCTCAAAGTTGGGACGCGTGGTGTAAAATCAGGCATCGATTTTCTCACATCGTGCTCAATTGAAATGGAAACCTCTGGTTGAATCTACATATCGATCTATCCACTCAGCCCACTCCCTGTGTCTCTCTCCACCCGTATCTATCTATCTATCTGCGTATCTATCTCCATCCAGCAATCTGCAAGCGATAGTTTCGTAAACGGGGTGGTTTAATTGCATTTATTATGATTGACACTGATAAATCGGCCATCATCTGGCTGTCATCTGTGAACACTTGCAGCAATTTGAACAATTAACCATCCATCAAGCCAAATTAAAGCCAATAGATGGTCTAACACTTATATAACCAGAACCATACCAGTCATACCAGGCCATACAATAGTTCACAGCATGCCCTGGGATGCCCGTGGATGCCCGGGGATGCCTGCCCGGCTACCCGTTCGGTGACGGGTTCAATGAGCCTTTGCTGCAACTAAAACTGGTAACTGCAGTAGTTTTAACCTCAGACTGGGATTGAGACTCCTGCCTCAGGTCTCAGGGATAAGCTGGAACCGCTCTCTGTTGGTAGAGGGACTGCAGATGGAGAAAGAGATTACTTGACGATGGCCAGAGCGATAAGTGGGAGCTGAGTACTAAAGTACTCGCTTTGTTGTGGCCATCCACGTCACCTTACACTTACCTTACCATCATCTACCTGTAGATTGAGGCACACACTGTGGGAAAGTGTGAAGAAAAGATAAGACAAGCAGATACGCAAAGGGATTAGAGATAGAGGCAATATTATGGCAGCACTCTGAGAAAATCCAAACATATTGATATTAAATAGAACTCACCTTGATTGCACTTCAAATAAAATAAAATAAATTTAATTTAAATATTGAAAACATTTATTTTAAATATGAAATTAATATTTAAATTAACTGTTGTCCTATTAGCTTAAAAATGTCATAGAAAACACTTTCTTTTTACAATTTACACTCTCGGCGAACATCTATTCAGGGCTTTTTTCTCTGGCTGTAGATACGTTGAATGTTGTTTGTATTAGAAATGATTAGAAAATGTATGATTATGGGATGTGTTTTGGATTTAACGATATGCAGAATGTTTGCCAACTAATTGCCTTTAGCTTACTGGAATTTATCTCTAACGATATGAATTATCTGCTATTTCTATGACGACACACAGTCAATCTTAGCAACCATCCTCTACGGCCTCCTCTGAATCGACTTGATCGCCTTACCAGATCAGAATTGCTAATTAAGCACGTGCTCTTGCCATTCCCGAGATCCCTAATTGTGCATAAATAAATACGAGCAAAGGCAATACATTCCAGCGGCACACCACACCACACACAACCCGCAGCAACAAAGTACAGTAAATATAGTGCATATGTCTGTATATTTCAAACAGAAAACAGAAATCAAAAGCGCAAAATGCGCAATAAATAAAAACAGAAAAAGAGAAGTGGGAAAACCATGAGAACAGCAGCAACAACAACAGCAACGCCAGAGTCAAGGCCAAAGTTTATGACGCCTGCCTCTAGCCTGTAGCCCCTGCCCCATGGCTGCACCATTCTCTCCATACACTCAAAGAAATTTCACTTTCCTTATCAGCGAGGTCGCTCCTACACTGATAAGATTCGCGGAGTGCAGGAACGGCACTCTGCCGTTGCGATTGCGATTGCACTGCGACGGAAAGTGAAATTATATTCTGTCATGGCTTTTTATACTCTCACACACACTTGCAAATACAGAAATTTGTCTGTGTGTCAAAATAAAAATTTAGAAACAACTTTTTTGCCGAATATTTGACATTGAAATATTTTTTGCAAGAAAAAGAAAAAAAAAAAACAAAAAACGGCAAGGCAATGAGAGATACGAGCCGAATGGGACTTTGGCAAACTGTTTTAATATTTGCTCAGCATATGCGTATTTATTGTGCATAATTATAAGATCATTTCAGTCATATAAGCGGGAAAATATTTTAATGGCAATCGAAGATTTTGCGGTCGATAATTACAGATATAAAGAGCCAAAGAAAATCCTGGCAGATCTGTCAGAGCAATAATGGAAATTCATTAGAAATGTTTAGATTTAAAAAACGTGAGACACCATTAATGAATACAATCTAATTGGAAATCCTTATCAGTCTCGGCCTTGAAAAGAGATTTTCTTGGCTGCTGCCCCCATAACCACTTTCCCTATAAATTTGGCAAAAATGTATACATCTACGTACATACATTTGTTCGTATGTAATTTATAGCTTTTTTATAGCTAATATTTTGTCGCGTGCTGTACATATACGACTGCGTTTCTTAGTGCCATTTCCAGTCAGTCCTCCAGTGCACACACACATACATAGGCATCTGTGCGTGTCTCTCTTTGTGTGTGTGCGTGGAGCTGATAAGCTGTTCTGCTTTCAGCTCTGCAACTCCTCTCACCCACCCCTCCCTTTGCTCCATATACTTGCGCTTTTTTGTGCAGTCTTTTCATGGAATTTCTTTTGGTTTAGTTTCATTTCATTTTCCAACGATCGCGGTTCTGTGATTCCCATCGAAGAACAATATTTGTATTGTTTCATTTTTTTTTTTGATAATTTTTAATTACAAAAAAAAGTGAGTTTAATAGCGGGCTTATTAAAATTAGAATTTTTGAAGTGTTTGCTATAATAAAAGGATAAAAGGCTAGACATTTCCACTTGCTCTACTCCCGTTACTCTATAAACCTGGAAACTAAATCAAAAGTTTTCCCATGCAGTTTTCTAGTGAAATATATTGCCTTTCAATCGGTATATAGCTTGTTGCGCTCATACTATCGTACAAGATTTTATCTGTACAGAATGCTAGAAGCGTGTGCAGCCGTTCACCATGACGTATGCGTTATCCTCCATCTGCATACGCATGCCAATGTATGTTACAGGATATATGTAAAATATGAATTAAATAGAATAAAAAATAATTAACTAAATTTAAATTAAATAAAATAAATTAAAATAAATAAAATAGAATAGAAATATAGAAATATTGGAAATTAAAGGCAAAACATTATTTTAATTGTTGTTTCTTTTTCTGTTGTGAATATTTAATTGCATAAAAAAAGGCGCAAACAAAAAATATAAACGAGATGTTATATTTAACAATACTTATATAAAGTAAAGATTGGTTCGTGCTCTGCATATCGTATTTTTTGAAAAACTTCCCCAAAGAAATCAACTAATTGTCGAACTTTGCCTCTCCTTCATTTCTCTCTTTGAAACCAGATAAGCACTGCCATATTGCAACTAAGAGCATCTACGAAATAAAACTGATAGACAGAACAAAAACATTTATCAACAGAGCAACCAAACTACCTCGATTGCTGCCTGGCTCCAGCCAAAAGAAAAGAAAACACAGAACAGAGTTGAAGCGAATGCAGAACCAGAACCAGAACCCCCAGTGAAAGCACAGCTCCAATGTAGGGGGGAAAAATGGAACAGCCAATAACCAGCAGCAGCACCACTTAAAGGACTAAGGACAGGACGAAACGAGTACAGTTTCGCTTACACAGAGCCCTCTCGAAACGCTTCCGCACCGCGCCGCTCCGCTGCGACTCCCACTCAGTCACTCAGACGCACGCGAACGCGAACTGTACCAAACTCCCTCCAGTGGGCAGCAGATCCCTTGAGGCATAATGAAGAGCAACGGGGATGTGGAGGCGGCAACGCCGCTGCCTGTGGCAGGATCAAAGGCCAGCAATGGCCACGGTCAGACTAATGGCAACGGCAATGGCTACCATCAGAACGGAGGAGGCAGACGCGACTCCACGCAGGCCTTTACGCCCCTCCTAGCCCAGCACAATCAGACAAATGGCGAGGGGCTGGGCAACACGGCCACACCCGGCCAAACCACGCCCACAGGCAACACCGTGCTGTACGAGAGCACGCCCAGCAACAACAACGAGTGGAAGGCCTCGGAGGACATCAACAACCTAAAGAACGGCCTCGGGGGCCTGCTGAGCAGCAACAACAATGGCACCGGCAACGGTCACAGTCTCCGCGAGAAGTACGCCCACGAGCAGGCGCCACTGACGGGAGGCTACAAGCTGCCCGCCCGCTCCAGCGAATCGGAGGAGTCGGATGACTTTGGCTCGGACCTCAATGGGGGCGCCGACGAGGGCTCCAGCTGTGGGCTGTTCGGCTGCCGGCCGCGATGGGCGCGACGGTTCGCCTCGACGCACGTGTTCATGGTGGTGTTCCTGCTGGCGTACATACTGCAGGGCATGTACATGACGTACTTTGTGTCGGTGATCACCACGATCGAGAAGCTCTTCCAGATCAAGTCCAAGACCACGGGACTCCTGCTGAGCGCCAGCGAAATGGGCCAGATCTGCACGGCCATGCTGCTCACGTATTTTGCGGGACGGGGACATCGTCCGCGGTGGATTGCCTGCGGCATGGTGCTCTTCTCGATTGCAGCCTTTGCCTGTGCCCTGCCGCACTTCATTTTCGGGGAGCAGCTGATGCACTCCAGCGTGATCCTCCAGCAGCAGTCGCTGCCGGTGCAATCGGAGTCGTCCTCCTCGCTGATGTGGCACAATGCCACCCGGGACATGCTGAATCCGAATCTGTGCCATTTGGGGGGGAATGGTTCGCTGGCCGGCAGCGAGTGCAACGAGGAGCGGCAGCTGGAGCAGGCCTCCCACTCGAAGATCACCGTCATCGTTCTGTGCATCTTCTTTGGCAGTTTGCTCAGCTCGGGCATTGGCCAGACGGCAGTGGCCACCCTCGGGATACCCTACATCGACGACAATGTCGGCAGCAAGCAGTCGCCCATGTACATGGCCGTCACCATTGGCATGCGGATCCTCGGACCCGCCTCCGGCTTCATCTTTGGCAGCTTCTGCACGCGCTGGTACGTGAACTTCTCGAATCCCGGCTTCGATGCCTCCGATCCGCGCTGGATTGGCGCCTGGTGGCTGGGACCCGTGGCCATTGGCAGCCTCATGCTGTTGACCTCCATTGCCATGTTCTCGTTCCCCAAGCAGCTGCGTGGCAAGCAGCAGACCCAGGCCCAGGCGCTGGCCGCTGCGGCAGCTGCCCCCGAAACGGAGGAGAAGCCCAAGCTCAAGGGTGAGTGTGTGCGCAATCCGCAGAGGATCATTCTGTAAGCTAAGCTGGGAATCCACCTCCTGCTCCACAGATTTCCCCAAGACGGTGCGCCGGCAGCTGAGCAACGATATACTGATGTTCCGCACTGCCTCCTGTGTGTTCCATCTGCTGCCCATTGCCGGCCTGTACACGTTCCTGCCCAAGTACCTGGAGACACAGTTCCGGCTGGCCACCTACGATGCCAACATGATTGCCGCCTTCTGCGGCATCCTCGTCATGGGCATTGGCATTGTCATCTCCGGTCTGTTTATCCTGAAGCGCAAGCCCACCGCCCAGGGTGTAGCCGCCTGGATTGCCTTCACCGCTTTGGTTTACTCCGCTGGCATGATCATCCTGATGTTCATTGGCTGCAGCATGGATGACTTTGCTGGCTATAAGTCTAGCAATGCACACAGGTGAGATTTTTTGGCTTAGCATAGATCCCATAGGCCGTCTCCTAACGTTTTCCTTCTGGCAGTCCCGCTCTGATCGAGCCCACCTGCAGCGCAGCAATCAACTGTACCTGTGATAAGGAGAACTTTGCACCGATCTGTGCCGATGGCACGATGTATATATCGGCCTGCCATGCCGGCTGCAGCACCTCCTCGCTGCGGCCCCAGCGACAATCGCACTCTCTACTCGGACTGTGCTTGCATTCCAGATGGTGAGTCCCACATCCAAGAGTTCCTTGCTATGGTATGGCATCTAATGATCTGTGAACATTCCAGCTGCGGAGGCGGTCAACGGTTACTGTGATAATAACTGCAAGAACTTCATCTACTTTATACTGATCTTTGCCATTTGCGTATTTATGCATTCCACCTCCGAGGTGGGCAGCATGCTGCTCGTCATGCGCTGTACACATCCCAAAGGTATGTCCCTTGTATGCCAATGGATCATTTGGAATTTAACGCAAACCATTCTCTGACTTGTAGATAAGGCCATGGCCATGGGTGTCATACAGTCGGCCATTGGCTTATTCGGGAATGTTCCTTGTCCGATCATCTATGGCGCTGTGGTCGACTCGGCGTGCCTCATCTGGAAGTCTGTGTGTGGCAAGCATGGTGCCTGCTCGCTCTACGATGCGGATACTTTCAGGCATTATTTCTTAGGTGAGTAAACGTTCCGCTAAATAATCGCGACGTATCATTATTTAATAGTTAAATCCTTTTCTTATACCAGGAATCACGGCCGGCATCATGTTTCTGGCTTTTCTCATGGATCTGGTGGTGTGGCGCAAGGCGCATCGCATTGATATCGCACCCGAGGACCCACAGGAAGGTGCAGGTGCAGCAACGGCCAATGGCCGCTCCCTGGATGTGTCCGAGTCGAAGCAGCCCATTACCCCGGCGCCGGACACCACTGTCTAGGTCTAAGCGGGCTGATATGGGATGTGATGTGATGGGATGTGATGTGATGGAACAGGACGGGACACAGACAAGCATTGCAGGAACTCTGCAAGATTTCCAATAAACGTTAAACCTTAATTGTTAATTAGTTATCATTTTGTCTAGTTTTTTAGCCTAGTGCAAGAGTTATGTAATTAGTTAAGTGGCATACCCCTCTCCACCTACTCCTACCTCTACCCCTACCCCTACCCCTACTCCACCTACTCCTCTACCCTATTCTACATACTCGTAGGACCTATGGAATACGATTTTGAAATCTGTGTAAATCTCAACGTTATAGTCGAAAAAAGGATCGAAGAAAATGAATTAATTGTAGAAACACAATCGATGCTATCGATCGATATATGATCGATATAATGATCGAAGAAAATTGTGCAAAAGTGGCCAGAAAAATTGAAAAATATCTGTATGTATAACTACTCTAAATATGTATGTATGTATCTGTAACAGCTATATATCTGATGTATCCGATATCCGATGTATGCATGTATGTTTTATACTTATGTATATGTATAATCTGTAATTACGAGTTATATACTAGACATTTACATATACATATACATTTACATGTATGCATGTATGTATGTAATTGCAACCTATCTGTGGTAGTTAAATTTTAGTTAAAATTCAAATTAAATGTCTAAGTTTGTCATACAACAGCTACAGCAGCAACAAGAATATACGAAAAGAAATTAAATGGAAAACTATATACAAATAATATCGTGAATCGTGAATACTTATTTTTTTAAATATATATTTTAAAATCTGTGTCATCCACACATACAATTATTATTTGGTCCACAGTCAAAGGTAATGCTGCTGCTGCACCACACCATTGTGGGCATCATATACTTCTCTGTTTAGTTCGATTCAATTCCTTTGCACTCATGAATAATTCGCCCAGATGCTAAACGCTAGATGCGGTGAGGTTTTGATTCCCAAGAAACCAAATAATAAGCATCAATTTTGCTTCGGTGCTCTGGGAAATTACTTCTCGCACATGCTTGGACGCTCTCTGAAAGATATAGATATAGACATGCCGAAGAAAACGACACACATATGTATATACCAAAAATGTATTTTTTATTTAATTATTAACAATTTCAATATTAAAAAATCCTTAAATTTACGAACAGCATTGTCTTGGATGCATGCGATGCGATGCGATGCTATGCCGCCTTTCGCCTAACTAAAACAACAAATTGTGTTATACAAAAACGAAAACTTGAAAATGTTTGGGCTATTAGAAGAGTCTCTGTAGTACAACGAAAACAGTTTGTAGAGTGCATGCGGTGGCTGGCTTGTGGGACAGCACAAGAAATGAAATAAATGAATCAAGTAAATAATCAGCTATCGGGCGACCAGAGCTTAAAGGTGCGATCGAATGATGTGGTGGCTATATACTGCGAATTGGGTGATATATCCACGGATATGACCTTGTTGTCGTGACCCTGCAGCGTCTTGAGCGGCTGCCACGTCTTGTTCGACCAGATCTTGGTGGTCGAGTCGTAGGAGCAGGTGACCAGAAAGCTGCCACAGTCCTGCTGATACTTGACATCCGCTATAAGATTCGTGTGCGCAGGAATGGTGTAGACGGGCTGGCGGCGTCGCAGATCCCAAATCTTGCATGTGTTATCCTGCGACCCGGTGGCAATGTGGAATCCATTGGGCGAAAAGTCCACCCCAAAGACGGCGCCCAGGTGGCCCTCTAAAAACATGATGCAGCGTCCAGTGCGCAGATCCCAGACCCGCCCGAAGGCGTCCAGGCCGCCTGTGACCAGTACACTGCCATCGGACTGGTAGGCCAGACAGTGCACCGGCTTGGCATGTCCCTCCTGATGCAGCACCTCCGTCTTCTGTTCTAGGTCCCAGAGGCGCCAACTGGAGTCGTAGCAGGCGGTGGCCAGAAAGCGTCCGGAAGGATGGAACGCCACTTTGGACACCCGATGCGGCATGTGGCCCGTGATGTCGGCAATCGACTCCTCGTTGTTGAAGCCCCACAGCTTGACGGCGCCATCGTGGCCTCCAGAGGCCATGGCCACCACATTCTCCTCATCCGCCTTGACGCCCGGCCGCAGGGCCACGCCACCGACATAGCTAGCATGACCACGCAGCGTCTGCTTCAGCTCACAGTCGGGCACGCTCCACAGCTTGCAAAGGCCCGACCACGATGACGTCAGCAGTAGCGTAGAGTCCTCGCTGAAGGCGGCACCGCTTACGGGTCTCGTGTCGCCCACTTGGGAGCAGAGAGGAGCCAAAGACTGAAGCTTCTTTTGCATCTCCACCATGCGACCAGCCCGCGTGGCACTGGGCACATCGAGCGCATCTTGGGCACGCATCAGGCGGTCGCGGGCACGCGGCAGCGAGTAGTCAGCCAGCCAGAGGCGTGATATCCGCAATGTCTCGGGCCCCTCGTGGTACCATGTGGCCTCCTGTTCGCGCTGCTGCATCTTGCGCTCCTCTTCCTCGGTCTTCTTGTTTAGCGCATTATCGCCGAGATTGGCCAGCAGCTCCTTGAGGCGGCGTCGCCTCTCCGCCGGACCCTCGCCGAAAAAGCAAATGGGCTCGTTCAGCTGTCGGAGATTGCTCTTGATCTCCGCATCGTCTGTGGACACGTTTATCTGTCGGGCTCGCTTCTTGCGCTCGAACTCCTCCAGGAGCGCCACCTTGTCGCGCTCCATCTCCGTCTCCAGATCGAAGTAGTCATCGTTGATTTTGTTGGCCAACGAGGCCGCCGTTGGGGGTGGGAGGCTGGCTTTTGTGCTGCTTACCTTCTTACTGGGCTCCTCGTAATCCTCATCCGATTCGATATCCTCCAGCTGGGCAGGCGTTGCTGTGGCCGCTGGGGCAGACGACCCCGACCCCGCCCCCGATGTTTGGGCCGGCGTTGTGCCTGAGGCGGCTGTGGTTGTTGTTGTTGTTGCTGCTGTTGCCGCAGACGACGCGCCGCCGGCATTTTGCCGCTTGCGCTCCGTCTCCTCCAGCGAACCGTAGTGGATGGTACGCTGCCGTTTGATGTATTGTATATCATCATCATCGGACATTCTATGCTCCTAATCGAAAAGAATTAATTTTAAACTAAAATTTCGCCGAAAAACGAAAGAAACAACAAAAATATCCGTCAATGAAAACGTTTTTAGGGTAGTGTGACCGCAGATCGCTAAAATATACCAAAATATACCGAGTTTAAGGGTGAGTGTTGGGTAGCGTTATCGGAGGCGATCGATAAAATTATTTTTTTAGGGCTGAGAGGGCCAACTATCTAGTAATATTAAACTGAATATCTGAATAACTGAATATTGACGAATATCATGTCACTAAATATCATGGTACGGCAGCCCGCAGCAACTTCGAATTGCACGAATCTGGCAGCGCAATAAAATCGACGTCACATTCGTTTCATGTTGTTTTTGTTTGAACCTTAATATGTAAATAATCCAATAAAAGGACTTCTGGAAACTTGCCACTCTTGTAGAAAATTTATGTATCTATCGGATAAAATTATTTGTTTAGGGCTGAGAGTCTCAGCTAGCTAGTAATATTAAACGGAATATCAAAATCGAGAAATATCATGTCACAAAATATCTTGGTATGGCAGCCCGCAGCAACTACGAATTGCACGAGTCTGGCAGCGCCACAATTACATATATTGTTTGAACCTTAATATGTAAATAATTCAATTAAAAAGACTTCTGGAAACTTGCCACTCTTGTAGAAAATTTATGTATCTATCGGATAAAATTATTTGTTTAGGGCTGAGAGTCCCAGCTAGCTAGTAATATTAAACGGAATATCAAAATCGAGGAATATCAACTATCAAAACTATCCCAAAACCATCGATAGTAGAGGCTAGCTGTAAAATATCGATTATATCCATGTTTGAATCAATTTTTTCCCAGCTCTAACACACATATTTTCAGGGGTATTAAAAATTGAAAATTTTATATATTTTCAACACGCACGCCCTTTGAATTCGCTGTCGAAAGTGTGATTTAGTCGGGAAGATTTAAGATGAGCGCACCGAGCAATAAAATGTCGGCAACGGATCAGATGCGGGCGATGCTGGACCAGTTAATGGGCACCACCCGTAACGGGGACGAGCGACAGCTGAAGTTTTCGGATACACGCGTCTGCAAGTCGTTCCTGCTGGACTGCTGCCCCCACGACATACTGGCATCCACACGCATGGATCTCGGTGAGTGTCCCAAAGTGCATGATCTGGCTTTTCGTGCAGATTACGAGAGTGCGGCCAAGTCGCGGGACTTCTACTACGACATCGAGGCCATGGAGCATCTGCAGGCGTTCATTGCGGATTGCGACCGACGCACAGACTCGGCCAAGCAGCGGCTGAAGGAGACGCAGGAGGAGCTGACCGCCGAGGTGGCCGAGAAGGCCAATGCCGTCCACGCCCTGGCCGAGGAGATTGGCAAGAAGCTGGCCAAAGCCGAGGCCCTGGGCGAGGCCGGTGAGGTGGAGGACAGCATGGAGCTGATGAAGGAGATCGACGAGCTGCGCAGCAAGAAGATCAAGGCCGAGCACGAGTACCGCACTTCGATGCCCGCCTCCACCTACCAGCAGCAGAAGCTGCGCGTCTGCGAGGTCTGTTCCGCCTACCTTGGCATCCACGACAACGACATCCGGCTGGCGGACCACTTTGGTGGTAAGTTGCATCTGGGCTTCCTCACCATTCGGGAGAAGCTGATCGAGCTGGAGAAGACCGCTGCCCCGCGCAAGGTGGAGCTGAAGCGCACGGGTAAGATACCAGATCGTGACGAGGAGGGCCGAGGCGGCAGAAATCGCTACTTTGTAGGTGGCCGTGAGCTGGACCGACGATCCCGGGTGCATCGCTCGCGTTCCAGGGAGCGACAGCGTCAACGGGAATCGGAGCGCGGCGATCGTGACCGGGAGCGAGGCAACAGCAGCAGCAATGGGAAGGCCGAAGGCAGCACTGAGCGTTCGTCCAAGGAGGCGCCAGAGGGACCAGAACGTGGAAGCGGCGGCGGTGGTCAGCGCGGTGGACGCGACAACGATCGCATCAATCGCAACAATGACGGCCGGGATCATCGGGACCGAGAGCGCGACGGACGACGGGACAGGGATCGTCATATGCGCAACGACAGAGGACGTTTTGGCGGCGGCGGTGGAGGAGGAGGCGGTGGTGGCGGCGGCGATCGCAGGGATGACAGACGTCGCTCTCGATCCAGAGATCGATCGCCGCGTGGTGAGAGGCGAAACTACAATCATTTCGCTGGTAATCACAACAACAATCATAGCAGCAACAACAATCACCACAACAACAACAATAACAGAAGGCGATCCTACTCGAGGGAACGCTACCGCCGTTAGGAGAGCCCCTTTTGCGCACGTACGTAGCAATAATCCGAATCAGAAACAGAAAAACAGCCACAACAATCTGAAACTAAGAGAACACCTAATGAAACACTCTGATATGAAAAAGAAAAAACCTTGAAATATTAAATTAATATCTATATATAGCCACTGCTCCAGACAGACACTCCGTTGTAGAGACGAACATTTGTATATTGTTAATAATCTCTTATTTTTGATCTTAGTCTCCATCCACTTAAGACCGAATAAAGCCTAAGCTCTGTTAACCAAACCGAACCAAAACCAAACCCCAATCCAATCCAAAACAAAATGAAAACGAATCCCGACCGAAAGCGAGAGAGAAGCATAAATATGTACATACATACATATATGAGAGTGCATATGATAATGATTTGATAGTCCCTCGATCCTCGTTGCAGGTTTTTGGTATGTAGAGAAAAACCCAAATGTAGAAGAACCCCCCGAAACCCTCCAACCCTCGAACGAACACCACAGTGTTGCCAATTGTAGTATAGTACTAGATATTTGATATTTTATGTAGAATATATAGAACTAGGAGAAGGAAGCCATCCTCGAACTGTACGTACTGTCCGACTGCCTAGAGAGCCATTAACTTGAACTAAATGATATAGCATACAGGATCTATGTTTATGTAATACAGATGTAATGGAGGGGCCTTTTTATACTAGTTGGTAACACTGTAAACAACCCATTCGACTCGTAATATTCCCAGCTCTTAGCTCTATTCTCTCTCTTTTTATTGATTACTACCGAGGTGAATCACTGTACGAGCTTTTTGGGGTAAGCCTCAACCATATATAAAAAACTCTTTCTCTATCTGTAATCTTCTCTACTTGAAGTTCCACAATTTTGCAGCCCACACTCAGCTCCTTTTGGGTACGTATTGAGTAAACAAAAATATCCATATAAAAACACCAGAAGACGTACGTCCTACTCTAGCATTAACGTTAGTGTTGTCTTGCCAGATACTACTCGTATATATACTCGTTCGTTCGTACATGCATTGACATACTATAGATAATATAACCAATCCAGATAATCCAATACGATAGCCTTGGGTACGTATCTACTCCGGCCGTTAAATGAGAAAGAGATTGATATTGAGTTCTGTATTTCGTTTCGTTTTCTGTTGGGTACGTATTAACGTTAGAGAAGAAATGATAATGATCTAGAAGATCGCAGCTCTGTGTGGTACGTATGTATACTATACTGTAATATATATACAATACTCAACCGTAAGCAGACAGACAGAAGGCTTTGTAGGGGTTGTCGGAGTTGCAGATCCCAACGTGTACGTATTCCCTTCACTCATTCTCTCAACCAAAAACCAAACAAAAAAACAAAGAAAACCCAAATGAAAATATGTATTCTTTTTACTATAAACTCTCGTAGCGGTTTAGAGGAGTTTTAAACATACAATAATCACGTATTTCACATGCCAAATGGTGGTGCTCTCTGCTCTGCTCTGCAAAATGCCACAGAATCGATGCAGCCTCTGGGGGCCACACAGATCAAGTACATACTTCATGCCCATCTGTGAGTATTCGGGTCGTCAACTACAACATAATAAAAACAAAAACAAAAGATACCATATAAATATTATAATATAGAAATTATTATAATCAATATACAAATCAATTATCGTTCGGCCTGGGTCTGGGCTTTCTGCTAACGTTTTCTTCGTTCGTTCGTTTCTTTCGACAGCCAAGGATTGTAGTGGGATAAATGTGAAAAAGGGAGCTACCATATGTATGTATAACTAATATATCCCATTACTCTTCGAGTACCGGGTATAAAAAGCGATTGTTTGTGTTTGGCCTAATTTATCAGTGGGTAAGAACTATCAATCAATAAAAAAACAAAAATCGCTAACTCAATTTTCTATCTGATCTGTCTTATATGTCTATTACTTATTATCCAATTCAATGCCTATCATTTTGATCTACTCTTAAGTGAAACACACACGATTACACCACACACAATCTTAAGTTATTCAGACAGAACACACAAACACACAACGTAAAATCTATATTAACTTTTATCTTTATGAACCTAAGTGGATTGTAATAAAATTGCACTTGAATTATAGTGATCTTCCGGCTTTTGTTTTGGGTTGGAACTTCAGTGGGAATATGTACTTTTAATCACTCCTACTATAGCATATATTATCAATATGAGTGGCTGCATCATTTTCTAGATTTATCAAATGAAAATTATGACATTTTATAAGTGTATTCTTCTTTAGGAATCTGCTAGAGAACATGAGAGACAGATAGCGGGTTATCCCATGCCAAGACGAGACTTATCCGAGGGATTTAGCCTCTTTTGTATGCTTACCTGCACGATTATTTCAGGTAAGAAATATTAGTCACAATGGTGGGTTGAGCTATAAAATATGAAAAGATTAAGATGAAGTCGGTTAGCCTCGCAGAAACCACTGCATACAACATAAGGGTCCAAATTAGAAAATTCTTTGCCATAATTCTAGGTAAAGGTTGTAATTTTTAAGAGAAGATAATATCAACTTGGAATCATCTCTACTTGGAAGTTAGATCACGGACATATGGAACCATTGTGTACGTTTACGCTCAACAGATTTTAATTTTAAAAAATAAATTAGGTAGAAATAAATCACATCATTTTAATGAGAATTCAAAACAATTTTAATATGAATTTCAACTGATTGTTTTATTCAGTTTCTACTGCAGACATGTAGCAATAAATGCTTTACCGAATCTCCCTCTAAATAATCTTGATATGTATTTGTAGTCTGTCCCAGACAGAGACAGAGTTCCCATATCAGTTGAGGAAAATCACCCCCAAGAAAAAACACATGTGGCGGCAGAGTTTTGTTTCTTCCATGAGAAGGCTTCTCGGTGTTGTTTGTATTTTAAATATTGCTGTTAGGTCTGAAAGGGCTTTGCTTTCCAGTTGGTGTTGTTTTTGTTGTATATGTTTTACGTTTTTTTGATTTGTTTTCCGTTTCTGTTTCTACTTAATTTTGAGTTTTACACGTTGTTTTTGTTCCAAAAGAGAATTTCTGTACAATTTGTTTGTCTTTTCTTTTATATATATATATACGATACGTATTTAAAATTAGGTCTTCATTCTTGTATGTTTAACAATTTCAATTGGCCCGAAAGATAGATAAATATTTTTACAATTTTAAAGCGTTTTCGAGTACCCAAACCTTGACTTTTGGAAGGTTTCTGGGTTGTTCTGTACTGTTGTTGTTGTTGATGTTGTTTTGTGGATTGGAAAACCTTCTCAAATGCTCCAACGCTTCTCCACTTTTTACATCCTTAGTTCAAGATCTTGTCTCGTGTCTTGACTCTCCTACTCCTAACTCAAAACAGTCGCTCCGGACGGGGGGGTGGGGGGCCCGGCTATAACTCTCAGTTACACACTATCACTATAATGCATGGAAATCTAGGAAATTGAATTTGCTTTGATGATCATCAACATGAATGGACTTTAGAATCTAATTTACTTTAATTATTATTTATACAACAATTCATTTCATTTAAATTTTAAGTTTAATTGTATTTTTGTTGGTTAAAAATTTTGAACTATTTGATTGGATTTAACTTGATATAAAATTCATCGATCTACAGTTTAGAATTTACGTTTAAATATTGCTGTTCTGTTCTGTTCTGTTGTGTATCGTTTTGTTTTCTTTTATGGTTTACTCTCTCCAGTATTCGATGGGTAAAAAAGTATGCTCTCTCGACGACGCACTATCTCTTATATAATAGATCTACTAGACAATATAGAAAGTGTATTTTCTGTCTCTGTGTGTGGTATAGTAGTATGGTCTGTGGTTTGTGGTTTTGCTGTGGCTTTTTCTGTTGCTTGTTTAACATTTTTTTTAACTCTTACGGAATCTTTTACGAACTAACTTATCTACTGATTTGATTTTATACTTGGATTTGTATTCTTCTTTTGTATAGTACAATTAGTTGTTGATTTAATGCTTAAAATTAGACATTGAATTTGGCATTTATTGCGCACTCTCCTCCGCGTACTGGCGGCTCTCCACAATAATTAACATGGTCTTTCCCATAGAATTGTTATTTACAAACGATTTGTTATGCCTGATTTTTACTGCTGAATATTACGTTTGAAGACCACTTTTAAAGGCGGGATGTATGGTAGGAGGCAATGGGGAATGCAAATAAAATTAGAGGAGCATTGAAATATCTATTAAAATGAGCTTTTGAAACTGGTTTTAAATGCTGGACTAGCTTTTGCAGAACATAGGGGAAATCAAATTTAAGTTGAAAATTTTTTACAAAAAAAATAAAGCATAAAAAGGAACCTTAATATATAATAATAAAATTTATAGATTGGCAGCTTTTTTTATGGATTAAAGTGTTGTAAGGGAGAGTAAAGCCAAAATATAATTATTACTAAAATATATGTATAATATAAAGGGGGAGGAGTGGTTGGGTGTGTGTGTGTAAACTATCTTAAGTCACTAAATGTATACGCATCGTTGAACAAAATGTTGAAATCGAGTTAGATATGAGAGATAGACAGAGAGAGAGAGAGAGAGAAAGAGGACTACTAAGAGCTAGATTCACAGGAAACTGATGGACTGATTAATCATCTCATCACAAGTGTGTGTGTTTGTGGTGTGTATGTGTGTGTGTGTGTGTGTGTGAGGATGGGTGTGTTGTGTAGTGTAGTATTGTTGTTCTTGTTGATTGATTGATTGATTTGATTGCTGTTGTTGATGTTGTTGCTGTCGGTTATGTTGTTTGTTGTTTCAGTCCTTTGAGTGAATCGGTATCACATATTTATGTCCATACGGACTTTTGTACTTAATGCCACAATCACGATAGAATTTATCCGGTATACCTAAGTTACATAAATACAATTTGCCACAATTGTTCGTTGATGAAGGGGTTGCTGGTTTGGCAGCCGCTGCTGCTGCTGCTGCAGCCGAAGATGTGCTCGGTAGGGGCGTTGGTGTGGCTGCAGCCGACGATGATGATGATGCTGTTGCTGCTGCTGCTGTTGATATGCCATTCAATGGTAGTATAGGTAGTATAGAGTATTTAATTGCCACATCATTAATACCACACGGTGGCGGATCTATGGCAAGCACTGAAGCGCTGCAAAGAGATACGGAGATAGAAAGTACCCCTTTAAGATTGGAGATCGATCCTCCCACCCGCAAGACTACTTACCGATTCAACCTGAGCCAATTCTTGATTCCATCCGATAGAGTAGCGGTGTTAGTCGATAATATCACAAGATCTGGCGTGGGCAAGGCTGCAATCGAAAACAGAGAAGGGATATGGTTAATCATATTAAGATGTCATTAATTTCCAACCACTCACCATCCACGGCGTGGACTATGACATTGTCTGTGGCCTTAAACAAGGCAATCTCCACGCTCTGGCCAACCAGCTGCGCCTGCTCCACATACAGCAACACGGTCAGGCCATGAGAGGCCAACTGTCGACCCGTGGCGGCTCCAATGTTAATTGTTCTGCAGGAAACTCGATTAATACGCTGATATTCAGCAACCAAAGGGGTGCTCCCTGCTCACCTCATATTCTTGACGCCATCACAGATGATGGCTATCTTGGGCCACTGATGATTATTGGCCGGCGTCAGGCGTCTAGCACCGCCCAGCAGTGTGATGGCCAGGTCGCTGGCTCCGCGCGCCAATATATCAATCTGACGCTGCAACGACAGGCCTGCCTTCTCGGCACACAGCTCAATCTTGCTGCGCACAAAGGCTGGTATGGTCGGTATGATCAGCCCATCGTCAGTCACAAAGTCCTTGCTGCCATCAAAAATGCTCTCTATCTGGCGCAGCTGAAGCGGCTTGCTGGCCAGAATGTTCTCGTCGTGCCGATACTTCTGCTCCGGCTGATGATGATGCTTCACGGCTTGCCGCGCCGTATCGGGCCGCGTCGACTCGATGTTCTCCCAAATGGCCTGCTTGTCGAACAGCGCCAAATTACCCTCAAAATCGAACTCTGTCTGTAGCAGTGGATCATCTGCCTCGCTCCCAAAAGTCTGCCGCATGCTGCTCTCTCGTCGCACCCTATTTCGTTTATTCTTTCCATTGCCATTTCCACTCCCGTTGCCATTGCTATTGGTGTAAGAGCCGTTTCCGTTGCCATTTCCATTCCTTCTGCCGTTGCCGTTGCCATTGCCGTAGCTGGAAGCTGCCGGCGGCTGTTTGTAGTATCCATCGCCGTTGCTTATGATATCGATGGGCCTGCTGCTTGCTGCCGCCGCTGCTGCCTCGCCACTGGCGGTGCTACCGTCCGCACTGCTGCTGCAGTAGCTCTCCCGATTGTTCCCAATGTAGACGGCTGCAGCAGCTGCCCCGAGCTTCACCTCCACCTTGGGCGGTATCATGTTGCCAAAGAATGCCGCCACACTGTTCGGAGTCGTCGACATCTGCTGCTGCTGCTGTTGTTGCTGCTGCTGCTGAGCGCTGGGCGCCCGCGAGTTCTGCGGAGTTCTGTGGTGGAATGCCAAGAGAATTTAAAGATTAAAGTAACGCATTCAGAGCTTATGGAATATAGCCCAGGCTTATCGTCTACACTACACTTTAAGTGCTGACCTCAAAGGGTATATTGGCTCTGCAGAAGCCTGGGATCATTTACAGATAATGAGAGTTCCTGGCAGGGGAAATAGGGGGCACAAATGAAGAAACTAAAAAGGGAGTAAATCGTACCTTCTTGTACCATTGAGTCCATTCGCCTCCATGAGCTTTAGCTGGTGCATTTTATCGCTAAGCGCCGAGGTAGCTGCACTGCTACTTCCACTTCCACTTCCTTCTCCTCGCCCATAGCCGTTCGCCTTACCCCTGGATGTCAGTGGCAGATCCTGTTCTTGCTGTTGCTGCTGCTGTTGCAATTGGAGTTGCTGCTGCTGCTGTTGCTGCTGCTGCAACTGCTGCTGCTTGCCGAGAATATTGGAAAAGTGCGGCAACTTGACGGGCGTGGGCTTGTTCATCACCGTGGGCGTCGTGTGCGTTTCCACATCCTGATTGACCGGCTCGATGAGGTTGATGCTCCGTATGTCCGTGCACTTGAGCACCACCTCGGCGTTCTGCTTGCGCAACGGGACGCCATTGCGGAAGGCGCGTACGATGGTTATTTCCTCCGCGGAGATTAGCTTGATCAGACCCTGGAAGACGCCCAACACTTCGTCGCACGTAATGGACACCGCACAGCCGATCCAGTCTTGATCTGTCAGACCCATGAAATTAGCTGTTTTTGTTGTAGTTGCTGTTGTAAGGCAATCGCGAAGCGGTGAAGCTTTTGGGTTTTGGAAATTTCTGCTGCCTGCGTCTGCAGTTTTCAATATATGTACTTGGATTTGTTCGAGGCTTTCTTTTTCGAGCCGTAGTTGTTGTTGTTGTTTCGTTTCTTAATACGCAATTTCGCTCGCACTCACTCACTCACACTAACTAACTACGCACCACGCCGACCCTGCGCTTCTTCTTCTCGTGGACAGGCAGTTGCTTTTCAAGTCCTTGCGGGAAACACACAAAATGAAATTGGCAATGTTTCGTCTGGTTGTTGTGCTGCTTCCTGCCGTACAAATGACCTCGATATTTTGATTCGGTTTTCTTTAAATGCACCCCACTTCTCTCGCTAAACTTATTAAATTTTTGTTTCTTTTAGATTTTCACTACTTTGGTGTGGCTGTTTTGCGGAAGTGGCAGAAATACCTACTGGCGAATATGCTTCAAAAATACCGATCAATTATTGCGTACTTCCTGAGCTTTTGGAGCTCCAATACTAGTTCGACTACAATATATATCTCTCGTTCACACTGCCTGGTTTTTCCAGAGGGGTTTTCACTGTCTTTAAGAGCACGAGTGTGAAAAAGTGAAACGAAAATTAAAATGTCTCAAAGTCCCAGTGTCAGAATATATTTTCAAATCAATTAAAGTACATACACCAAAAATTTCACTGGTCCTGAAGCTTGGTAATTTGATCATTTATTATGGCTTGTCCTGCAAGTACTAGTAGTTGGTTAGTGGGTAGTAATTTCACTACCTACCAACTAGACTAGTCTAGTCCTTTGGTCTAGTGCCTTGGGTTGGTATTTTATTTGTATCCAAGCGTTTTTAGTATTATTCTGCCATCGATAGGCAGTCACACTGGCACACAGTTTCGTCGCCGTGCTAAATTCTTGTTTTTTAACGTTTAATTGTGATTAAAATACCAAGCAGCATAATAGCTACGACAAGCAACGCCCTTGATCGGATCAAAGTTTGTAAGCTGTGCCAAACAGCACGCGAATTAGAACGTAGTGCCGTGTGAAAAGTGTAGTACGTGAGGATTTTCCGCACATAGTAGACTAAAAACGAACATACTGACACACACACAAGGGCATATTTACAGCATAAATCAAGCGATATTATAGTGCGGCGCTGTCACCACAGACAAGGCGGCGGTTACTGATTGTTGAAGCAGCAGATAAACGTAAGTGGGAAAACTTGGAAAATAGTTTTATTCTGACCATAAACGAAGGCCAGGGCGCGCCGGTCAGGTCCGACATGGCGTTGAACCCTTCGCGCTTGGCTAATTACGCCCGGAGCTGGCTTTTATGCTCTGCCTGCCTTTTCTTCCCCCTTCTCAGTCATATGCACCCGAACACACACAAAGCTGACAGACAGAGATGGCATCTAGCACAAGTACCGTTCCTCCATTGTGCACTTTGTGTGCGGTGTCGTCTTTGTTGTCTGCTCAGCTATGCTGCGCTCTCACTTTGGCCTTGCCGGCGCGTCTCAGCCTCCAAGTTATTGTCACCCGTCCACCCCCGTCCCTTTGGTCGGGCGCTTTCGTGCCTTTTTTCGCTTAATTTGCACTTCCGTCACTCCTCACTCTCACCCACTCTCTCTCTTGCTTCCACTTCCTCCCATTGCAGTTGCTTTTGTGAGCCATGTCGGCACGTTCCAGCGGTTCTGTGGCTGCCGTGACCGCAATGTCCGCCGCCTCATCATCATCGGCCGCAGCATCCGGAGGCGATGTGCCGCGCCCACCGCCGCGTCGCCGGGCTGCCTCTGTTGCAGGACAACAGCAGACGCGTCAGGAGTTCGGCAATGGACACACGCCACGTCGATCGTTGGCTGCAGTGGTAAGTCCCAACTGGAGGGAGGAGAACTGGGAGCAGAAGAACGCCTGCAAGGGGATTTTGGATGGGCTTATCAGACTTGTGTGCCTGAATGGGTCTTTCTCTATATTTCTGGTGCTATTTTCATTGCTAATCTAATCTGGAGCTGGAGCTTGCCGAACAGCCAAGTCATATAGATGGGCCCAGCCCGTGCGTGCAGTAGAGCCACCTGTTGCACGCCCCTCCCATTCGGAAAACCCTTCTTAAAACCATTGTTTTGGGCATCACATCGTCCCATGGAAAGTGCCTGATAAGCAACTGTTCTTTGGCAGTGTTTGGAATGTACTCCGTAATGGCTTTTCTTTTATTTAGTTTTCTCACCCACTTGTGTTAACGAACAAATACGCACATGCCTCGAGATCTCAGACACAGACACAATTAAACAGAAAATTTGTTTGTTTATTTGCTTTATTTTGGCGAAGGGAAAGATAAATGAATGGCACTTGGAAGCAGTCATCAACATCTTGAAACACAATGGAATATATCAACAAAACTCTTGGCCAGCTCCAGCTCTTGTTGAATCAACTCGAGTACTGTGTATACCCCTCAGAATTCAATGAAAACTAACGCTTAATTTGCTTTCGTTTACTCAATGAGAGTGGGAGAACGATTTGCAAGTTCTGTTTGCCCAACTTATTTTCAGGCTAGAGTGGGACAGACAGCGGGTAGGCTGCTTATCTTCATTAGTGCGCTCATCCCAACGGTTCTTGGGGCTGTTGCTGCTCTGCTTCCTCACACTCGCTTGGTAATTGAGACGCGTCAAATGCCAACGTCGCTTGGGGCAGGCACACACCTGCCTACGTCACTGTCATACGGCACCCCCACAGACTGGCAGAGTGGCACTAATGGGGCGCGCTTATCAGTCAACAGTCGAGTATTTATTTTTATCCGTTGCGTCAGCCCTGCCGGCTGAAGTCAAATGTCATTTTTAATTGATGCCTTGCTTCGAAATGATTGTTAGTAGAAGGGGGGGTGCCCCTGCCCCATGCTACTCCAAAGATCAGAAATGCAGCGGCAGTAATGCTCTCTGCACCCAACACACACACATACACACCCACATGTACAAGAACAGCTGTTTTTGTTTTGTTTTGCTTTGGACACTTGTTCGCAGCAAAAAAGCTTTAAAAGCTTACTCGGTGGAGTGTTGTAAAATGGGCGAAGCAAATGCGATATTTTAAGTCGTATTAGGTATTTTTAAGTCAGTGAAATATTACAGAATTATACCTGTTTTCTTTTGTTATTGCTTAAAACTATGTTTAGAAAATCGTATTCCTACTACCCCGGTATACCTGTTACTACTTGGACTACTTGCGTCAGTATTTTCTGTTCAAATAACGTTTTAGGTAACTAATGCGTTTTACGTCCCACCAAAGGCATTGCATACATTTTCCGTCTCGCCAGACCTTGGTCACACTGTTTTTGGGGAGCTGGGGAGCAAAATTTTATTTTAGCTAGAACGCGAAAGCGCCAATTACGTGCAACGGCTGACGACAAGTCGGGGGAGACCGACGTCACCTAGTTGTTGTTGTGTTTGCACACACACACACGCGAACACCCCGCGAGGTAGGGAGAAATTCACGCAGAACATGTTTTCGCAACAGTGTTGGTGATTTGTTATTGTTGTTGCTGTTTTTTCCCCGTTAATAAAAGATAAACAGTGAATAATTGAATAATAAATATATATATAAAGTGTTCATCGACATGCACAAGAGATATCTACCTCTGTATGCATATTAATGATTGCTAAAAAGTGTTAATTATATAAAGAAATAAATAAGTATATGTACTTTTGTATGTACGTGTGCTGGCAAAAGCAACAGCTTCGTCGTGAAATAAGAATCAACGGGAGTCAAAGTCGTTGTCGCTGTGAGAGGTGCCCCCCTGTCCATTCCTACGAGTGGGAGGGGGCATTCATTCAATGGAATCAAAGATTCAGTTTTTTCTCTGGTTTTTTAAGGCCTATATTAGTCATGCATGCCAAAAACACTGGTGAAACTCGAACTCGTGTGAGTGTGTGAATGTGAGTGCTGCGACAGGGCCAAGGGAAACCAATTCTGACCAGGCCAGGCCCTTAGCCTTTACCCGTGCTCCTCGTACCCAGATAAAGCGGAGCAGCCTTACGTATACGCAATAAACGTAATAAAAACAAAACGGCAAATTGTTGGGAAACCTGTTCCTCTCCTCTGCTCCGTCGCAGTAGCCGCTGCAACTTGCAGCCAACGTCGCAGTCGCAGTACCATAAACAGCATTCTGCATAAAAAAAAGCTCGCGGCGGGAGACCAAAATAAATCTCGAGTGCGCCAAAAAATATAAAAATAAAGTGTTAAGATTAAGACATAAGGGAACGCAGAAACCCAAATATGAAATTCCTTATGGCCCAACTTGTTTTGTGCAGTTAAAACCGCCCGAAAGGAATTTTACCATATTTCTTTTATGATAATCCCCCCTCCCCCACCTTTATACGGTTTATTATTTGATCTGTAGTACTGTGAAGAGGCGAGGCGAGCAAATAAATTAACACTAACGCAAAATACAACAGAAAAGTAACACAAAACAACGTAAACAAGAGCAAAAAGAGGAAGAACAAACAGCAGGAGAAGCAGCAGCAAAAGAGGAGGCTGCAAAAAAAAAAACAAATAATTAAAAGTTTAAATCAAAAATGGCTGAATCAACAACCACATCACCGTCGGGGACGAGTGAAGATGGCCAGATCCATGGCTATAACAACAGTGATGTAAGTAGCCCAAAGAGCAGAGGGAAGTGCTGCTCTCTTCCTTCTCTCTTTCTCTCATATCTCACACATGTATGCACATATGAAAATGTATATGTGTGTGTGCGTTTGAGCTCATTTTCTTGAGCCGCTAATTGAGCCGCCTTTGTTGCGGCTCACGTGCTTCCTCCCCACACCCAGCCATACTCTCTCCCACTCATCTGTTGGCTCTCCAAGATCTTCTTGTTGGAAAATCACTTGAAAAGTTTTCCAGCTCAGGGTCAGTTTTTGTGTTGGGGGAGCATGTGCGTGAAAAATCGACAATAAATATCTGGATACGAGTATATCATTAAATATTGGAATATCATGATATGTCATTATATATGCGAATATCTCCGATATAATGCCATGCTATATAGTAGTGCGTTTCCGATCAGAATGTGCACGAATATTAATTTTTAATAGAGTTCTCTGCTTTTCCCATTAACATTAAATAAATATCAAATAATTATTGTTTATTTGCATTTCCGTAATATTTGTTTTGCCCACATTCCCATCGAATCATTGGCCCTGAACACAGGCTCTTTTAATATCAAAAATTAAACAGAAAATACATTCCTTAATTGTGGCTCTCTCTCTGTTACTCGTTTCCACCATGTGCATTTCCCAGAATGAGTGAAAATTGATTCTTTCGTCTCTCTGTGTCTCAATTTGAGTAGTTTGATGGATTCCATTCGATTCGCATCTAATCGAAGTGGATGGCGACGGTTCAATTTGTGTAATGAATTTGCATTGACCTCCGACCCCTGGACAATGTGACAAGTGAGGGGCAGGCCAATCAATTAGGTTAATGGCGGCCTCTATGCCTGAGGTTTCTTTTTTACCCACTTCAATGACCAAGGCAGGAGCTCAGAGCTCTCTGCCCCGCCGCATTGAGTGCGCATTAAAATTACAATTGATATTAAATGTTGTTTTAATCTTTTGTTTGCCAAGCGTTTTATTATCTCAAGCCCCCCATACGCATTCCCATTTCCATCTGAATTTCTAGTGAGAATTCTATTTGGACAGTAGACAAAAAAAAAACAAGGTAAAGAGAGAACCAACCAAGAAATGGGCTTTCGTTGAGACCTACCGCTCATACTTTTGTGCCCGCTTATCAGCTTAGAGACCCGCAGAATGATTATTCATACATATATATTTTTATAATTCATTATTCATTCAGTTTTCGCCAGAGAAGAGACTTCCACGAAAACTGTGTGGGAAAAGTCAAGCGAAACGAGTGACAGGATAGAGGATGGATGGGGTGAAGGCGAGAGTTGCGGGCACACGGTACACACGCCTGTCACATGGTCATCCAAAATGCTAAAAGTCAACGCTTCGGCCCTGATAATGAGGCAAACTTTTGGTTGTGGTCTGGCATTTATTGATAATCGAATTTCGGCTACCGCTTATGGCTGATGGGAGAGCAGAGTGGGAGGAATAGAAGTTGCCATATGTCATATGCTACATCAAAGAGCAATTAATGGAAAATCATTCAAAAGTTGAGGGGAATATTGCACTTGGCATTCTAGGAAACAGATGAATTTTCAGTTATCTTTAAGATTGCCCCATGACTGATTAGTTTTATAGACTCATTGCGTGTGATTAACTGTTTGCAGTAGCTAACAATTCAAACTTTAAATATAAAATCAGTTTCCAAAAGATTTTCCACAGTATTTATATTTATATTTTATTGAATTAATCTGTCAATCAGTGAAATTTCATTAAATCTGTATCAAAATTAATCAAACTTTCCTTTCAAATACCAATTAAAACATAAATGACAATGCGGTCTATGTCTCGACTAAGAGATACCCACTACACACATTTATACCCCATGCATTAACTAAAAGATTAACTGAAATTAGAGCCCAACAGGTGACGCGAATGGGTATTCCTGTATGTCTCTTTCCTCTTAATAGCTAAGCGATCAGAAAGATCAGAGCCCCGATGCATTGATCTTCCCTTTCCTAACCCATAACGCATAGCGGGATCCAATCAAATTCTACATTCTTGCTCTTTCCAGGCAACATTCCAATGCCCAATGCCCTTCATCACTCGAAGTCCAGTCAGTATCTCTAACCCTTTAGTGCCTGTGTGGCATTTTGACGCCTAATACTATATACCCATTCGCTGTCACACGCAAATGCCAGATACAACCAGGCACAGGGGCTTAACCGCAATCACATTTTAAGCTAATTTCGCCTCAGTACCAGATTTAATGGCTAAAAATCAATTTAATGCCAGCCAACCCAACGATGCGGCTCAGTGACTGTCAGTGTCCCGTATCTATGTATACTAGTATCCAAGTTCCAGTCCCTACTGCCATTTGGGGGAACACTGACAGCTGGAGGAAACGCTATAGAAAGAGGGCTGGCTGGTTGAGGGATTACTCAAGTCCAGGGCCAGAGCGCTTGGGCTGATTGATTGGGCACTTGTCCGGCACATGGAAAGATAAGCAAGACCCACGCGACCTGGCATTGAAACCAGCACGGGGACTTAAGCTATGTTTCATTTTGTTGCCGTTCAATTATGGAAACTTTGATAAATTTGCTCCAGGAAACACAAAAAAAAAGAACGACTAAAACTCGAATTCCCCTTGGTGGGGTAAACCCATTCAAACGATTATCAAACACATTATAAATGCGCCACTAAGGACAGCTGCTTAGGGGGCTACTCTACCACCTCCAGCTGCACTTTTATCCGCATATTTAATTATTGCACAAGCGGGAAAAGCCGCAGATACACGTATATTTTAAAGGGAGACAAACGCCCCCCTGCCCGTTGCTGAAAATCAATATCGTAGTACTACAAGTTCATGGAAAACGCGGAACACAAGCAGAAACAGAAACTACAAACCGAAACAGAAAAGAATAGAACCACAAAAAGTATACATAGTTCCCCCCTTTCCCCAGAGAGACAGAGTGAGAGCGTGTACAAAATGGCACATGTAAAAATACTCATACTAGAGGGGAAAGAGCAAGAGAGAATCTACAAAAAAAAAAAAAAAAACCTCCGTCAGGGTCACAGAGCCCAGAGCTAGCCGCAACATGCGAGTGCCTCTGATATGTGATATGGGATAGGGCAAGGGGCATGCGGGGGATATGGCGCCGTCTGGTCAGTCACAGCCCCTAACCAACCCGTAGTGAAGGGGGGGAGGAGTGGGTCCAGAGTGAGTTTGCTCTTCACTTTATAAACAATGTTGGCCAAATTGAATATTCCATGGGGTAAAAGCCTTTTAATGGATACAAGTGTTGGGCTCTCTAGCAGAGTGCTGGATGGAACAGGCTTTTGTTCTCCAGCTCTAAGGAATGCAGAAAGTTTTCAGTACCAATTGGGGGAACAAATTTGGTGCCTAGATATCAGTCCTGTCCCTGTCTGTGTATGTGGTGTGACTTTTGGGAAATGCAGAAAATAATTTAAGTACATATACAACAATTTACTTGGGATGTGTACATCACTCCAAAGTAATGGAAATATTCTACCGAAGAGAAGGAAGCTGCAAGGAATTAAAATCCATCTGCCTCAGGCACAATCTAATCCTCACATTTAAAAGTTGTTACCATCTGCAAATGCTGTGATTGAAGCAGCTTTAATTCAAAATAAAAGCAAGCCGAGGGAAAATTCTGCACAGCAACAGACGGTGAGACCTTCGGAAAGGCAGAGACAGAGACAACTCCTCTGGAACGGAAAATGCCAGCCGCAACACGAAGAAACCGCATTCCATGAGCCCAAAATGAATCAGGGGCACACACACACACACAGATTTACGAGTTTTTGGGCCACATTCTGCACTCTAGACAATTGCTTGATGACTCTCTCTTGAAGCACGGACCCTCCCCCTTGGCGGGGCTGGCCCTCAGTTGTTCTGCGGTTGAATGTGGCAAGGTCATGGAAATTATCTAGGTACGAAGGCGAGAACAATTATGTACGCAAATGTATAATGCGAATTCTTCACAAAAAAGCATTTATAATGCGAAAGGACCTCAAAATGAAAGAAAAACCAGTGCTATAGATGGGAGTAGCGGCACACGTGTGGCGACACTGTAACACAGAGTACTCCTGCGACTCCCAGGGTCAGGATTGGGTTTCTTTCAAAGCAAGCGTACTGCAAACGACTGTTTCAGTCTGGCCTTTTGCCTGCGCTTCTCAGCCTTGAAGTTTGGTAAAAAGTTTGCCATAAGAAGATAGAAATTAGTGCATAAAATATACACTTTAAACACACTCTACCCCTGTCCCTGTAACACCCCCTCCTTACATAAATAAATAAATAAATAAATATGCAAAAACTGTCAGTAAGGCTCTGGACTGCGGACAGTGGACTGCGCGGCGTATGCGTAATCACGGGGCATTAGGCATACGCCGCATAAGCCAGGGCTGCTTTTGGGCCCTGCCCAGTGGCTTATTTACTTACAAATTTTAACCAGCCCCACGCCTCCCACGCACACCTCTTCCGACAGAAGATCCACCTTTGTGGCATTGAATTTTTGTGACTCTGGCAATGCGTGTACAAGTATCTCATTTGTGTTCGTTCCTGGGATGATGAGAGGACGCTAACATATACGCTAATTTTCGTGCTTTGTTCTCCGCTTTTCATTTTATTTTTTTCTACATTTTCTTTCGCCCCACAGAACGACTCTGGCGACTCGTGTCATCTGAGGATTGTGGTGCTCAGCGGCCAGTCGCTGGCCAAGAAGGACATATTCGGCGCCAGGTGAGTGACAGAATCGTTTGCTAGCGGCCTTAAACCATCAAACTTATAATTATTAAACTCTTTTTCAATATCCACAGCGATCCATATGTCCGAATCGATTTGAACACAATCAATGGTGATATTAATATTGACTCGGTTTTAACAAAAACAAAAAAGAAGGTACATCAAATTAGAGCTAATCCATAATGCCATTTGTAGCCATTAACGAATCGTAAAATCCCCCGCGTGACATGGCCAAAAACGAATTGGAGAGCTGCTTATCTAATCAGCACCTGTCTCATTCGCCTCGCCATTCAGGGAAGGTGCAACGCGATATCTAAGGGTGGAATTCGTAGGCCTTGATTGTCCGATTATAAATGTAAAGCCCCCGCGCCAGTCCCCCCCGATCCCCTCATCTATCTGTTTGTGTCTCTCTACATTAGTCATACAGAGTCATAGTCATACACATTGTGTGTGTGCTCCAAAGAGCGAAAAACCTCTTGAGATAACTAATTTGTAGATTGTTTATAGATGGTCTTGAATGGGGCAGACACAGCATTTTATCATGGGAGCATTCGATTTAGATATAAAAATGCGATTGAGGACAGATTTTAGATCACTTTTGAAGGTTTAAATGGTTTGTTATTTGTTTGGAATGAATATTTCATTGGTTCTGCATTAGGGTGTAGGCAACGCCTCCCATTTTGTTAAATGAATAATAAAATTTAAGATTTATGTACTTGCTTATATTACGTTTTATTTAGCTTTAATCTCTCACATCTCTTCCCCCACAAAACAGACACTGAATCCATCCTGGAACGAAGAGTTTATATTCAGAGTAAGTTGTGGCGGCTACACACTGCCTGTCCCCCAACCATTAATGATTCACAGACTAATTAGCTCTTGTTTTGGACAACAGGTGAAGCCCTCTGAGCATAAGCTTGTCTTTCAAGTATTCGACGAGAATCGCCTGACACGCGACGACTTTCTGGGCATGGTCGAGCTAACGCTGGTCAATCTGCCCACAGAGCAGGAGGGCCGAACCATTGGCGACCAAGGCTACACTCTGCGTCCGCGCAGGTCAGTAGGGTATGTTTATTTCATTTGCCGTTTGATTTTGTTCCTTTAATTTCAGTTGATTTACACCCAACTACAAAACATACAATATACCAAATAGTATAGTATAGTATAGTATATTATATAGCCGTAGGTAATAAATAGTCCAAACAAACTAGTTCGAAACGAAAGGTCCGAATGAAAGACAGATCATAAGACTAAAACAGAAATTGTATAATTGATTGATCGATAGATTGATCGGTTGAGGAACCATAACTCTCTCTGTCTCTGTTCCAAATCGTAGACCGTAGTCGTTTTGTAGTGCCAGAGTTTACGTAGTAGTCGCCCGTTGTCGCCGCCTTGTTTATTGTTTAATGTCACGCCCCTTCCAACCTCACCCTTCCATCGCTGCCACCCCCATTCCCTGTGCCCCAGTGGGCGGCATTGCACTTTTCGATTGAAAATACTACATATAATTTACAAACATTTTCACGTAGTCGCTGTCGTCGTTGCAGCCGAACACTCTCTCCCCTCCCCTCACCTCACTGACTCCCTCTCCCACTCACCCTTTAGACTACGCTAGAAGTGCGGTTCGAAACTATAAGACGGCTCTGTATAAGTTGTAACAAAACTACAGCCAAAGAGATTTCGAATTTAATACTTTCATATTTAGTAAAAATCTTTGCTGGTGTAAACTTTAAAGATACTTTGAGGATATTCGAAGCTTCGCTTGCTTCTTTTTCTTGGGAGAATTTATAATTATTTGATAAGTGAATGGATTGAGCTGATTGTTTATATTCTGTCGTATCGCTGATTCGATATCGATTTCGTTTGAAAACCAAAGATAAAGCCGCTTATCCGATGACCGATGACTGATAGCGTTAATTGGAATTATGCTATAAATATTGCTTAACGCAGTGCCTGGTGATTTATTCAGCGGCAATCCGGCGCCAGTCAGACGCAGAGAATGCACGATCTGTGGATTGCTCTCTGGCCGGCCTGCTGGTTTCAATGATTTCTAAATGTCAAACCACTCCCTTACAGCTTCGAAGCGCACTGTAATCGGGTACTACTGTATAATTAGTATATGTATATTCCGCCTACCCACCCAACTCCCTCCCTCCCCCTAACTGGTATTTGTGTCTATTTTTAGTTAACGCTTTGTACAATTGATATTGTTTTTGTTTTGTTTTTGTCTTAAACTGTGAATGTCTCCCTCCATTTGTATCTACATATGTATCTGTATCTGTGCCTGTGTGTGCGTGCGTGTGTAACAGTAGCATTGGTGGGGGTGGGGGTGACGGTGTCCAATTTGATTTGTAAATCATTTAAATTTTAATGCTCTTCGTGTTTATCTTCCCCAATATAACAAAACAAAAAAAAAAAAGCAGCGCCAAATCCCGCATCAAAGGCAATCTAAAGATCTATCACGCCTTCATACGCGAGACGCGCGAACAGAGCGAGCCCTCGAGCAGCAACAGCGATGGGGAATGGGAGCATGTGGAGGCCACCAATGCCAGCGAAACGTCAGCGCAGCCGGTAAGAGTCTCGAACTTATTTTCTTGGTAAAAATCAAACTAAATAATCAAATTTTGCAGCATCCGTTCCCTACTGGCGGCAATGATGCCTTGCCCGCTGGCTGGGAGGAGCGACAGGATGCCAATGGGCGCACATACTATGTGAATCACACGGCAAGGACGACACAATGGGACAGACCCACTGTGTAAGTCTGAGCAGAATAATACTTTTCGAGTAATTTTATTATTAACCTTTGACCCAATTGACAGTTTGAACAGCAACAACAGCCAGTCCGCTGATCAGCTGGCCTCGGATTTCCAGCGACGTTTTCACATCAGCGTGGATGAAACGGAGACGGGACGTTCGGCGGTAAGTTAGCATTTCGTCTGCCTGGAACCCCCCGAGACAACTTAAGAAATAGCCTAAGAATTGTATATATACATACTATATCTACTATTATCTATAACCATATATAAACCCAACTGCATGTGTGATGATAAGCAAATTGATTTGATTTTTCGTGCATGAAACCCACTTTCAAAACACACACACAAATCGCACTCGAAACTAACTCAATAACATACACAAACACACACACACACACACACAAAAAATAGAGAGCCAGGAACGCGGCCAGTGAAGAGGAGGATCGGCAAAGGGCCATCGATGAGGAGAATCAGACAGAGTCCGAGTCCGAACTGGTGCCAGTTGTTGATCCACAGAATAATCAATCGAATTGTCTGCACTGCGGCGAGGCACATGTTGAGGATGATGAGGAGAATGTAGATGTGGATGTCGATGCGGATGCGGAGGAGCCTCCCATTTCGGATGCTGCGCCAATCTGTGATATACTCGATAGGAACTTGTACCTCAAACGAATATTTGTAATAGCACAAAGTTTATTTTTCATAGATAATATCCCGCTAAAAGAGATGCATAGATTGTTGTTGAATTAGAAAAGCTAGAAAGCCAGATCCCAGTTTTGTTCATCCTCCAAACATCCATTATCCAGCATCATTATGGCCTCTCTTTCCACTTCATCCTCTGCATTGATTCTTCGTGTTTATATCCTGTAACTCTGTATCCAAACCCACTGTATATATGTATTGCATGAATACCCAGGATGCCTCCAGTTGTAATAGCTTAGAGGATGAACAAACGCCAACAAACACACCAGAAGCGACCACACCAACCAGCACAAACTTACCGCCCAACACCACACCAACAATCCCCAGCGAGAACAATGGCCATGGCAATGACAATATTTTGAACCATTCAGGGACAGACGATACGCCACAGGAGACAACCAGGTTAATATTATCGGCCATCGTATGTGGGCTGTGGCAGCATCTATTTAATCCCTACCCTCCCCTCCACTCCCCACCCGCCAATGCCCTCTGTTGGTGTCGTCCCACGAACCGTACTCTCTGCCCTCCGATCTGATCTCCAACTGATCTGTCTTTTATGTATTCAGTTTTGTTTACAATTCCTTGCGACATCGTGTCGCCGTTAGGCCACCCGAAATCTCAGCCACCAGTTTGCAAAACGATTTGCGTCCGGTGCGTCAGGCGCCCGATGTACCAGACATTGCCATGACCACAATCCTGACACGGCGGGCCATCGACAACATGGCCTACAATCTGGGACGGCACGAGCAGGAGCCTAACCAGCAGCAGCAGCAGCGGCAGCGGCGACGTCAGCAAATGCAGTTGCATATACAGCAGCACCAGCAGCGGCAACAGCAGCAGAACAGACAATTGGTTAGCATGCGCTCCACACGCAACATCTGTCACCCCATCCATCCATACACCATCCCCATACGATCATCCACATTTATTTCACTTGTAGCCTGAAGTAGATCTTCGCCAGCAAAGACGCCGCCAGCAACAGCAGCATCAGCAGCTCCAATTGCATCTACAGCCACATCCGCATCTGGTCAGCACATAGCATCCCCTCCCTCCACTCCACCTGTTGTAGTTCGATGTGTCGTATCTGTTTGTTTTAGATCTCAACTAAAAACCATTATAGCGCCGCAAAATTTGTCAAGTTTACATTTCATTTTGGGGAAGTAGAATTCACGTTTCTCTAGAAGCCACATGGGGCATGGGTTGGGGTTGTGTCAAGGAAGGAATGGGGATGGGCATGTGCCAGGGCAATGGGCCGCCTGTAGCTGTACACCTGTACTGTGTCTTGTATGTACTCGTATCTCAGTGTTGGTTGCACGTTGCATGCTGCAAGTAAAATACTAAACCTCATAGCGCTTTTCTAATTTGGTTTGCATTTAATTTGTTTACGTATAACAAAGTTTAATTTTATTTAATGTGCTTTTTGCTGTGTTTTTGCTTTGTGTTTTCCCACAAAAAAAAAAACCAAAAAACGTTTGCAATTTGAGGAATTTATTTTTAATTTGACCAAACACTTTTCCCTTCTGTTTCTTCCAAAACAAATCAAACCAAACATAATCAACCGCAACTGCAACTGCAATGCATCCATATATATATATATCTGCATTATATATTATAAAAAATAATCAAATGACTAGAACGAAGACACCGATCACACAGACAGCCACAATTCCTCAGAGATCTCAGCTCCGCCCACCCGACGCAATTCCGAGGAAGACAATGCGGCTGTGCCACCCCAGGACCAAGTAATGTTCAAACCTTTTTCTTTTCCCTTAAATGCACTCGAAAATTATTCGATAATAAACATCCTGCCCTGGATAGCCCCTCCCTTCCATAGCATAGCCGATTAATGTCACTATCCATGATCTTCTCTCTCTCTTGCAGAATGCCGGTGGCGAGGAGGAGGCACTGCCACCGCGCTGGTCCATGCAGGTAGCGCCCAATGGCCGCACCTTCTTCATTGACCATGCCTCGCGTCGCACCACCTGGATAGATCCACGCAATGGACGGGCCAGTCCCATGCCAAACCAGACGCGTCGCGTCGAGGACGATCTGGGACCCTTGCCAGAGGGCTGGGAGGAGCGTGTGCATACGGATGGACGTGTATTCTACATAGATCACAGTAAGCATTGGTTAAGGTTCGCCACCAAAACCCATCTTTATCTTTCGTCTCACGATAGATACACGCACCACACAGTGGGAGGATCCACGTTTGTCCAATCCAAACATTGCGGGACAAGCGGTGCCCTATTCCAGGGACTACAAACAGAAATACGAGTATTTCAAGAGTCACATTAGAAAGCCTGTAAGCAGAGTTTGGACTCACTTTAAGTGTTCTACTTACTAATCTACTTCCCATCATTTTTTGTTGACAGACAAACGTACCAAATAAACTTGAAATACGCATTCGCCGTACGTCCATTCTGGAGGACTCGTACCGAATCATCAGTTCGGTGACAAAGACCGATCTACTGAAGACTAAATTGTGGGTGGAATTCGAGGGAGAGACTGGTTTAGGTGAGTCATGACACCGCGCATTTAATGACATGTTCCAGCGTATTCTAATGAACGTAACGTTCTGTGACAGATTACGGTGGCCTCGCCAGGGAGTGGTTCTATTTACTATCCAAAGAAATGTTCAATCCATACTACGGACTCTTCGAGTACTCGGCGATGGATAACTACACATTGCAGATCAACAATGGCAGCGGTTTGTGCAACGAGGAGCATTTAAGTTACTTCAAGTGAGACCATTTGGCATCAATTTTTTAATTTCAACTAACATTTGGAACAAAAACAACCCCTTAGATTTATTGGTCGCATTGCGGGCATGGCTGTATATCATGGCAAGCTGCTGGATGCCTTCTTCATTCGTCCTTTCTACAAGATGATGCTGCAGAAGCCCATCGACCTGAAGGACATGGAGTCCGTGGACACGGAGTACTACAATTCGCTGATGTGGATCAAGGAGAACGACCCGCGAATCCTGGAGCTGACATTCTGCCTGGACGATGATGTGCTGGGCCAGAAGAGCCAGCACGATCTGAAGCCCGGTGGCGCCAACATAGACGTAACCAATGAGAACAAAGACGAGTACATCAAGTGAGTGTCGCAGATCCGCTTGTTATTCCTGTACCTTGTTATTCCTTGTTTAACCCTTCAGGCTCGTTATTGAATGGCGCTTTGTGGCGCGCGTCAAAGAACAAATGTCGTCCTTCCTCGACGGCTTTGGCTCGATAATTCCCCTGAATCTGATCAAGATCTTCGACGAGCACGAGCTGGAGCTGCTGATGTGCGGCATCCAGAACATCGATGTCAAGGACTGGCGCGAGAATACGCTCTACAAGGGCGACTACCACATGAATCACATCATTATCCAATGGTTCTGGCGCGCCGTTCTCTCCTTCTCCAACGAGATGCGCTCTCGCCTCCTACAGTTCGTGACCGGCACCTCCCGCGTGCCCATGAATGGTTTCAAGGAGCTGTACGGCTCGAATGGCCCACAGATGTTTACCATCGAGAAGTGGGGCACTCCCAACAATTTTCCACGGGCCCACACCTGGTGAGCTCTGATAATATATATTCATCCTTTTTCTTAGATTATTAATTGCATTGCGTTTGCAGCTTTAATCGCCTGGATCTGCCGCCCTATGAGGGTTATCTGCAGCTCAAGGACAAGCTGATCAAGGCCATTGAGGGCAGCCAAGGATTTGCGGGTGTTGATTAATAACACCGGAAACGGGAATGATGGCGAGTGGCTTTGGCAGGAGGTGCAGCAGCAGTTTCAGCAGCGCCAGGAAGAAGAGCAGCACCAGCAGCAGCAGCAGCAGGAACAACGACTTCACACTACATCACAAGAACAACAACGACAGCAGAACATCCGCAACCGCAACAGCAACCTCATTGCATTCACGTGGAACAGCACCGCCAGCAGATCGTGTACTTATTTGTTCGTTTGCTTTTGTATTATAATCATTTTTGCTAGTTTAGTGTTATTTCGTACGTACTTTTAACTAGGCGCCAACACACACATAGACAAACGGAGCAGACAAGCAGGGACGGAGACGTAGACGTAGACGGAAACGTAGACGGAGACAGGGACAGAAAGCGACACTGAATCCAAATAAAATCCTAACAAAGAGTCCAAACTGCATACGCATTGATATACATATATATATATTTATTACATTGCCGACAATTGTAAAAAGTTGTGAACGTTTTACAAACTATAAGAAAGAGAGAGATACCCTCCCCCTCCACCCCCTACTATAACTATTAAATGCTTGGAATATATATATATATATGTATGTATGTACACCATATACTGATACCTATAAAGTCAGAAAGTATATTCTATTATGTATATGAGAGAGAACCTTTTTATAATTGTTATTTTTATGCGATATTCCTCTATGCATCCCCCATTAAACAATTTGCCCAAAAGGCGATGGATGGGATTCAAACAATATAAAAGATATGCATAAAGTTGTACTCTGATGAACACATATTTTTAAAGAAATAATTAAATTTTTTATTCTGTATAATTATGTGTGTATTCAAAATAACGATAATGTTAGTCTGTATAAGTGTCCACCCCCAAAACCCCCTCTTAACTATTAAATAAAAAGACAAAACATAAAATATATATATACAAAAACTGAAGAAGATAACAAAAAACTAAGAACAAATTCAAAAAACAAAAATTTAATCCGATTTATATTGTAAAAAAAATGTTAATTACAAGTATTTACACACCCCACACACACACACACACACACACATTCCAAATGTTTATTGCGAAAGAGTATCACCCCGCCCGCGGGAAGGGTGGCCGCCTCAATGATAATATGATTATTCAAAAGTACCAGAAGTCTATCAAAATTAAATTTTAATGTCAAATTATGGTATAAAATGCATGGACTGGAGAACTTCTCACAGTCAGCGAAAAAGTGAAAACTGAATACAAATAAAAACAAAACAAAAAGTATTAAAGCCAAGGGATTTAAATTGGTAATCGTCTCCTATTGGGTCGAACTGTTAACAGTAAATGATAAATGGATTGGTTTACTAGTAGAACCTTTCAGGAAATTCCTGCATCAAATAGATCAGATCCGGAAAGCAAAACGATGCTATGCTTTGCTAGTATTTTCGGATCGTGCCATTAAACCACTTCAAAAATTGTACGCAAACAAAGTCGCCCTGGGTTCAGTAGAACATTCACAGCCAGACGTACATCAGTGGATTGGATGGCAAAGTGTGTGCAAAAGTGTTTCATTCATTCATATTTCTTCTTTCTTTTTTCTTTGTTGTGTGTAAATATTAGCATTATTTTTAGAGCTCGGTGGGAGGGTCCCATTCTAAAAGTAGCACCTACGTCCAAGAATATATGACACGCATACAGCCACAGTTCCATGTGGAACATCTGTCATCGTTCTAACGAGTGGCTCAAGGTAGAGTGCTCTCTTCTCTCTGCCTCTGGTCATCGTTTTCCGTCATCTCTTCTACAGTTCTGGCTAAGGCCTCCGCCACAACGGACTGACTAGTAATGCCTAAAGGCGATTCGTTACCTTTAAAAGGTCTCGCATTTGGTTGGATCTTGTGCGTGGCCTGTGCTACGCTCTTTTCCACAGGTTTGGCCCAGGTGGAAGACATTGACAATGCCGTCAGTAGAACCAGCAACAGCAGCACCAACGATGCCGATCCCATCGAAGAACTGCCCAGCGAGGTCCAAAAAGCGGTATGCACTGTGACCGCTGGTGAGATCAAGGCGTCTGCCGAAGCTGTTACTACAAAGACCCTAAAGGGAGTCTGTGGATCGGGTATGATGTAGCCATACGTTCCCACCAAATGGAATAATTAAACATTTATTTTCTTTATTTAGACGAAATGAACTTGGCCTTCCGCAACCTAGAGACTAAACTTTACGCGGAGCTTCGTGAAATAAAATGGTTACTGGAGCAAGTGGCAATGGCCAATTCGGTGGAAATAGTCGCTGCTCCGCCTCCTTCTCCACCACCAGTGACGCAAAGATCCACCACCCTATCAAACGATGTCGAACTAGATGAAATCCTAAAGGCAATGGAGACAAAGGCTAGCACAAAAAAGTTGCCCATACTGAAGGAGCTGGCGACTAGGCATAAGGCCATGCAGGGAGTGCGAGATGAGGAGGTCAATAAGTTCAACAATACCATGCTGGCTGACCAGGACTTTAAATTGTTTACATACTACTGGAAATTGGACAATTTCACAAACAGAATTGAAGACCTTTCCACGAACACTGTCAATAGTCCTGTGTTTAGCATCAGAGGCGAGTGTTTTGCATTCACTATGCCATTCTTCCATGATTAAGACTTAGTTTCTTGGAAATTACAGGCAAATCCCTTCAGCTGAAGTGCATCTTTCATTATTTGAATCGCGAGCTGCTGAACCTACAGCTGGGCTATGCGCAAGTACCACCACCAGGCGGCCAGAAGAACATTGCCTTGGATATGGGCGGAATGTTCAAGACGATGAAACATTGGACGGATGATACGCCATTCAAGCACAAAATCTCCATACTGGATCAGAATTACAGCCACCGGAAGGCAAAGGACCTCGGCTCACAGGAGCTGACCAAATTGGAGACGGGCTTTTCCATACCGAACAGTGCACTTCTGGGCAGCACGTACATCAAGCAGAACACGCTCTTGATACAGATTATATTGTATTTGTGAATGACGGGAACAAAACTTTTATTCGGTTGAGTTATTAAATCAAAGAGAGACCAAAACCACGTACTTTATGTAGATATTTTGAAAAGTTTACAGTTTGCTGCGTGCACCCTTGGCCTTGATGTCGAGGAATGGCAATGCTATCGGATATAGCTCCTTGCATGACTTGAAGGCCACAATGTCGCTGATGCACTTGTGCCGCTCCATATTTGTGATTTCCAGTGGCTCTTCCTCCTTGGAATCGGGCACATTCTCATCCGATTGCTTGGACACGATGTGCACGGACAGAACGCGACGCTCGCCTCCGTCTTTAGCTATGAATTTCTGCGAAAAGTTAAATTTTTTTATTAGCTATGGATTGCAATTATAAATATCTAGATGTCACCTTGAAATAATCCACAAAATCGGACTTTGTTATTTTGCGAAGTATGGCGACCTCAGCCTCCTCCCGCTCAAAGTGATACGTTTGCATGGCTATTTCTCCATAGAACTGGATAAATTGCTGGAATATGGTCTTTGCTTTCTCCAGCTTCTTGACGGCCAGCGCCTCTTTATGTCGCTCGAATTCATCCATAGGCATATCCTCAATTGCTTGCTAGGGGAAACGATTACTTTACAAATAATACAACCCTCGCGTTATAGTGTAGTTTGCTTACCAAATACGTCTGCAGGAAGTTCTCGATACGATCTTCGACAAATGTCGGATGCTTGGCTGACTGCACAATGATGCGTATACCATTGGCACCGTTTACTTTGCGTACGCCACTGAAGACGATATAACCGAGCTGTTCCTTGGTGCGCAGACAGTCGTAGCAGGGCTCGGACAGCACCTGGGATACTAGATTGACCATAATGTTTGTGTGATCCGTTTGTGCGCCACATTGCAGGTAAAGCTGCGTGCAAGAGCTCTTGTGGTACTCGTTCTCCTTTTCAAAAAGATAGCTGTCGCCTGTTTAAAGTAAAATACACGTTTCAGAGATAACTTTAAATCTCTTGATCTATGTGACATACCAGCTAAAAGCTTATACTCGCGCTTCTTAAGCATCTGGCGTGCAAGGATGGGTAGCTTAGAGGCATTGGTGGCCTCCAAGCGTGTGTTGACGCGACCAGCCACTTCCGTGGCATGCTGCTTGGTCACATTACCAAAAATAAAGCACTCTGTGTGCAGGCGTTGGAAGAACTCTTTGGCAAAGTTATTGACTCGATCGTAGGTGACAACTAATAGAACAAAAAGATGGTTAGAAGAGGCAGTTTAATAGCGTGTGGGAGATACTTACGTTCCATAGCGTCCAATAGCTCAACATTCGCCCAGGCATTTTCTGTTAATAGCAAAGCTAAATAGTAGATGGAATGCTGATACGGTTGCTCGGCCTTAAAGTTTTTCAGTGAACGAACATATTCCTCCTTCAATATATCGAATCGTTTCTCATCCACACGAAAGTCAAATAGGTGATCCAACAGTTTCTCCAGCAGCACTACTTGCTTGTCACTGAAGCCATGAATCGTGAACTGCAAAAGTATTTACCATAATTAAATAACGGACAGCACAACGGATAGTAAATGTACGCACATCAATGCCACCTGACTTTCCCACAACACTCAGTTTTAAATTGGCCAACTCCGCATCGTACAGATACTCGTTGAGTTGATCCTTCAAGAGCATGACCATCATATGATTTAGATTGCAATTGAGTGGGTCCAGGGAGGCAATCGGATTGGACATGTCGAACCGCATGCAAGCCTTGGGCTTGTTAAACTGATTGTCCTGCTTGTGCCACACCCGCAGAATGGGCGTGTCCAGTATGATGGTCGGATGCTTGGGTCCGTCGCTGGGAACATCGGCAATGTCGAAATTGGTTGGTATAAAGCTGTTTGGCAGTGACAGTTTGAGGTTCTCGTTCAGATCACATTTTTCCCAGCTCTGCAAGAATATCACATATTATATTATCTACAATAGATAGATAGGTAGATATGAGACAGGCCACGGCCACAACATACTTGCACAATATCCGTGGGTATGCGCTCCAATCCGTACTTGGTCTTGTAGTACGGCTCTGCCTGGTCACAGGCGGGCTCAAAGCTTTGGCTAACAATTACAATTCGACTTTTGGAGGGCCTCAACTCATCCAGTAGGCCGCTAATCAAGTCTGGCCGCCATTCGTTGCTCAAATATGGTGCAATGAGGACTTCTTCTAGGGGAAATATCTGCATGGATGACACGGCATGCGTGACTAAGTTCTCTGGCTGTTCCTTTTCCTTGAACCGAAACCTCATTTCATTTAGCTTAACACACTCGTCAAATATCCACTTCTTGGGTCCCTCTTCGCGCAGCATGCGCAAATACTGAAATATTATATTAACAATATCATCCACATGCTCCAGGCCCTCCTGTGTCAGGTCCACCACAATGTCAAAGAACCCAAAGCCGTTTTGGGTGTTCTGATGTCCGGCCATAAGACTGCAAGAAACCACAATATGAAATCTAGTTAAGTGCAAGTCCATTGGGTAGAAAACTCTTACTCATTGCACCAGCCAAGACGTCGTAGCTCAGACAATATGCTGCCCTTTCCCTCGTGCCCGATAAGGTGCGTCAAATAGTTGTCGGGCTGTAAGAAACAGCAATTACAGCAGTCTTTCTATATTTAAGCCACACGCTTGTGGTACCTTGAACTTACGGCCGATTTGTAGAACTTTGTTAAATCGTCTGTGGTAAAGCTGATCGTCAACGAGCGAACATCTTTGATGGGGACTATTTTCACCTTCTGTCCGTAGCGATCCTCCCCATACGGGTGACGTGGCCACTCCGGCACATCCACGTTTTTGTTCTCAATTTCGGAGAACTTCTCCATGACCATGCTCTCCAGCTCGTTCAGGGATTCTGTAAGCATTCATTTTGTAATATAAATAGCCCAGAGAGCCGCTAACCATTACCTTTTCCAATGACAGCCAGGCACATTATGTTGGCAGAGTACCACGCTTTGTGGAATTTAAGCAATTCCTCGCGCACATCAATGTTCAGGGACTTAGGTATTTCGGAGAGCGTTGTCTTGTTTCCGCTTCCAAATTTACTATACGCATGATCCGGCTTGGCCAGGTGCCGATGCACCTGTTTGATGCGCCACAGATCGCTGGGCAAGTTCTTCTCATGCTCCGAGTTGACCTGCAACGAGTTTTTGTTGTTAGTGCCCATGTCAGGATGAATCCAGGATGGAGTTGGTTATTTACAGCATTAATTTCCCGCTCTGTGGCACTGGGCGTGAACAGTGGTCCAATAAAGAACTGGGCAAAGCGATCCAAGGCTCCGTCCAGCTTGTCAGGTGCCACGTGAAAGTGGTATTTTGTCATTAGGGGATAGGTGGCGGCGTTGCTGCTGCCACCGCTCTGCGAGAGGTACGTCGTGTAGCCATTCTCGTGCGGATACTTCTCGGTGCCCAAGAACAGCATGTGCTCGCAGAAGTGAGCCAGGCCGGGAAGATTTTGTGGGTCAGACATGTGCCTACAATTGACACGATATGCATTAATGAACAAATCTAATCCCATCTCCCGGTCAGCATACACACCCCACTTGAACGGAGAGTGCAGCCGCTGAAACATCGGTGTTTGGATCGCTGATCAGCAGCACTTTGAGGCCATTTTCCAATTGAAGGCCACGGTAGTCACGGGTGTCCTGCTGCGATTTCTCGATGTTGTTCAACCTGCAGGATACATACTATATGTTGGTGAGTGAGATCATCAGTGCTGCGAACAGTTGTTAATTTACCGCAGAATTGGCTCCATTTCCCCTGGCTTTTTCGGTGATAGTTTTTGGGAATTTGTCTCGCCCGCAGTCATCTTGGATTTAGCAAGCGAACCAATCGATCGCCGAGCAACTATAATCTTTGTCTGCTGTGTATTCAACCTATTAGACGAGATAAGTTTTTAACTTTGCCGTCTTTGATGTAATGCACGAAACGAACCGACGACTTAGAAGAGCTGTTATGGTGAAAATCGATTTGCTACAGGAAAAATACATTGAGTGGAGTATCTATCAAGTTGTTTCCGGCCTGTTTCTGGTGCCCATGAAAAGGATTTCTCCCCGCTATCAGTTGAAATAGGATAGTTTTATAAAATTTGCTAAATAATTACACTATTTCGTTTCGCAACAACAATAACCATCAGTGTGACCGGATTTATTATATATACTATAATATACCAAATAATTTATGAAATATACCATTAACGTATGTATGTCAAGAGTTGCCAGCACCTCGAAATATTTAATGTATTTCTATCATCGATCTATCGGAAAATTCGAAAACCTTTATTATCGATATCGTATATCGGTATATAAAAACGTATCTAATCAAATGGCAAAAAACCTTTAAATTCAAATCTGAGATACCAGGCGAACAGAAATCAGCAGAAGGTCGCTGGTTATTATAATTTCTCTTTTTTTCTTGTTTCTCTTTGCATTTCGTTGCTCCCTCTTTTCGCTCTAATTTTTCTCATTTTCTGCCTCCACTTTCCACCGCTCAAATGGCAGAAAACCGTTAAATTCAAATCAGAGATACCAGGCGAACAGAAATCAGCAGAAGGTCGCTGGTTTTTTTAATTTCTCTTTTTTTCTTGTTTCTCTTTGTATTTCGTTGCTCTCTTTTTTCCGCTCTCATTTTTTCCCATTTTCTGCCCCACTTTCCACCGCTCAAATGGCAGAAAACCGTTAAATTCAAATCTGAGATACCAGGCGCACAGAAATCAGCAGAAGGTCGCTGCTTTTTTTTAATTCTCTTTTTTTCTTGTTTCTCTTTGTATATCGTTGCTCTCTTTTTTCGCTCTCATTTTTCCCATTTTCTGCCTCCACTTTTCACCACTCAACTGGCAGAAAACCGTTAAATTCAAATCTGAGATACCAGGCGCACAGAAATCAGCAGAAGGTCGCTGCTTTTTTTAAATTCTCTTTTTTTCTTGTTTCTCTTTGTATTTCGTTGCTCTCTTTTTTCGCTCTCATTTTTTCCCATTTTCCGCCCCTACTTTCCACCGCTCAAATGGCAGAAAACCGTTAAATTCAAATCTGAGATACCAGGCGCACAGAAATCAGCAGAAG